TTCCGCGGCGTGTTCTGCGAAAAACTCGCTCCAATTTGCAATCTGCCTCTGTTATTTTTCGTACGACAGGTTTTACAACGCCATTTTTCTCGCTTTGCTTGTCCCATGCTTCCAAAGGAGATTTCCATAACTACCGCAAAAGACTGGCCCAGGGTGACACCCATTCAGGCATACTGAGCAGGTCAGACATTTCTCGTCACTAGCATTCTCTCTGAGACATGCTACACAGTCAAAAAACAACAAAGAAAAAAAGGTTCAAAGCACTGCGGTAACGCGCCTACTTTACACGCAGCGTCATTTCCAGTGGTGGGAAGGGGCATGAACAGATATTGCTGTAACAAAGGATTCTTAATTACACTAACGCACAATATTTCCGACATTCATTCAATCATGCATTCATTTATTAGTACTGTGAACCCATACAGGGTTCTTACAGTGTGAAATAAAAATACATAAGGAAGACATACACGTCGCTGGTACAAGATTAAGAATATTCCCGTAACAAGAACTACAATATAATGTGGAACATCGCTCGATTTGGCATTTTTGCTGCGGTTGCGGTCCTCAAAATTCCATTTGACTTTCAACTTGACAAGTAGGTGCTAAGAGCGTGGCACTTAAACGTCAAGTTCTGGCCCTAGTTTGAATTAGAGCGTCTTATAAAGATCGGCCGTTCATTTCCCTATTGTTCGTGAGAAGAACTGGGCTATCTCTGTTGGATTTAGTGAATGTTCGCTCTATAAAGACGAGTTTAGTGGACAGTTCGTTCTATGAAGCCTAGCTTTTTTATATAAATTATGTTACTTTTGCTTTAAGAATGTTAATATAGGTTGCCCTGTTTCGCACCAGGAAGAAATGTTATCATGTTCGGACCGCGAGAGTTATAGTTTGCATATTCTTCAGGAGAGAACAGTTGTCAAGATGCGCTAGTTCTCGCGGTAAGCTGCAAAGCGGTCCGTTGCAAAAGAAACCCTCACTATCTTCTATATTCAAGTGGAATCTGTTTTATTATATAGTTGTGAAGGCCCGTTTTCGAGTGTCGAGATTCCCGATAAGCTGATATAATAAATACGGCCCAGTACGGCGATAATATGGTGCATTCCCCTTCCGTGTATAAAAAACGCTGACTATATGGCCGTAAAGATTCCCCTATGAACCGCCGTGCGCTGATGTGCGAGGTATTGAGCCTCTGTCTGTTTGTGAGCAAACGAGGAAGTTGTCGCAAATGTCGTTTTCGCACGCAACTAGTCCTATCATGGTGCAATGTCATGCGCCGCTTTGCAGGAGGTGACAGCTTTCGGCATCGTGCATCCAGCCGCCATTTTTTCTTCTTTATGCGAATACAAAGGTGTGCGAGAATCCAACACGTTGCGAAAGTACAACGACCTCCAGCCCGTTTGGAGAGGCACAAAGGCAGGGAACACATGCGCGACGAAACCGAGCGCCGTGAGGCAAGTTTCATAGCAACTGCCTCAGATGCAGTGGCGTAGCGGTATGGCATAGGTCCACGTCACAGCGTCTGCGGCAGTTGCTATGGAAACTGCCGTACGGCGTCCGTTTTTGTCGCTCATCTGTCTCCAGCTTAATATGACCGCACCAAGCGCCGTACCAAATAACAGATATGGAAGTGCCACTTGCATCAAATCCACTCATTTCACCACGCTCTAAAGCCGCAGCCATACTCATCCGAGGGTGCCCGAAATTAACCGGAATTATTTTCTGCAGGGCGGGCTCTCTATTGTGCAAGTGTTTTTTTCCCGCTAGGGTCCCGTTTGCATCGATGTGGCAGTCGGCGTTCTTTCTGAGACACGGCGTTCGGTTTCAGTGGTTTGTTTTTGGAGACTTTAACCCGTCTGCCGTGATGGGTGATTTGGAGACCTTTAACTCGTGATGGTTAACTTATACGAACAACGTGGAACAAATAAACTTTGTATCCTATTGTTTAACAAAATGCGGTGAAAACGGTTTTTCTATTGCAGACGGCTTGCAAGACAGCTTCTGTGAGTGAAACTAAAGTTTACGAATGGTTTTGTACTTGAATGAATAGTGTGTTCAGAAAAGGACGGTCATACTGGTGTAACGCCTATTTTTTGTTTTCCATAACATTTTTCGTGAGGTAGAGAAATGTGTCCACACAACGTGAAAAAACTTATTCTGTAAGAAACGTTTTTGTATTCATCATACAAATTCTCACCTAAGGTAAGGCTGAAAACAAGACCCCAACGGCGCGCTGACGCAACTTTGAAGGCACCTGGAATAAAAAAATACAATTGTCTACGTCATCAAAATTTTATGCCGAACGCACATAAACTTTTATTTATTTTTTTAAATTTACATATCCTCAACCGCTGAAGCATTGTAGAGAGGAGGGGCAAAGCAAACAAAAAAAAAAAAGAAAAAAAAAACAACAACATGCGGCAAGAAATTCAAATATCAAAAATACACTGCGATTGGCAAAAGCGGTAAACAACATCTGTTACGAACAAAATAAACAAAATAAAATGACTCATGTCAGCTCATAAAACAGAAATGTAAACAACGATTGTCGAAAAAGAAAATAATCGGGTATAGTTGCGATATCTGCCGGAAGGTGGTTCAAGTCGTTCGATGAATGCGGGATAAATGAATAAAAAAAGTGTTTTTCTGGCAACTTGTTAATCCAACTTAATTATGATGGTCCAGACGGAAAGGGCAATAGTTAGGCAATGTAAAGAAATGGTCTCACAGCGACTGATGCTGATACACTTTATGAAACAGGCAAAGTCGAAAAAACTTCCTACGCAATGACAAAGAGGATAACAACATACTGGACTTCATTGATGATATGCTAGCTGTTCGATCATAATTAGACAGAATGAAACGAATGGCGTCATTTCAAACTAGTTCGAGAGCTTTATGTAGAAAGGCGTGGTTAGGATCCCAAATAGAGGCTGCGTATTCAAATTTCGAGCGTACAAGCAAAGATAAAGTTTTAAGTTAACAGGGGCCGTTCTGAAGTTTCGTCGTAGGTACCCTAACATGCGGTTAGCGTTGGCGATTATTATATCAATTTGAGGCTTCCAGGTTAAAGTCGATGATATAGTAACACCCAGACAACGGTACGAGTTTACAGATTCAAGTTGAATGTGGATTGGTGTATATGGTGAAGGGCGCGCACCTTGCCGGGAAACCCGCATTAGTTTGCAGTTGTTAGGGTTTAGTCCCATACTCCATTTTTTGCACCAGGTGTACTATTATTTAAATCAAATTTCAAAAGGCGTTCATCATCGTCATCATGAACTTCCTGATAAATTTTTTCACTACAAGAATTATTTTATTTTATTTTAGTTGATGTTATACTTAAAAAAAAACAAAACCAAACTTCGCTTTGTGAACACCTCTTTCGTAATAAGGCAGTTGCGGCGAATTTCAGAACACTTTAATATTAAGCCTTCAACCTGAAATATTTTGTCCTGGGTATTCCCTTCCTATATTACTTTTTTTTAATATAGCGTCCTACTACTGTAAATATATTTTTCATTTCGCCCGAAACTTTCGACAAAATTAAAAAAGTAAAGAAAGCATCAATTTTGTGCTTCAATTAAAACAAAAATAATAATCCTCGAATTTTTTTTATTTGACGCGGTGGATCGTTCAAAACCGGTAATTTCATATCTGCAAAATATGTTGCAATATCTTATATTGTCTAAAATTTTAAAAAAAGTGTAACCAGGTCAATGTTGCTGTCAAATACCGTTGGCCAGGGGGAGGGGGGGTTCTCTTTTATACCTGCTCATATTGACGCCAAAGCAGCGTGACGCACTTTAAACGTAGAAATATGTTACGTAGACACCTGCCGTCTGTTATGCATATTCCATGTGTTGAAAGTAAACATCCGAAGGAGCCGGAGGATGACATTCGACAACAGTGTTGGGAAGCCGACACACGAGACCGGAGCTACCGCAAGTCAGAAAGTCTTTGCCGCGTTCTCCAACGAGCCAGGAGGCCGAAAATGCTTAAAGTATACCTCACTCAATCACTCACTGATCTCAGAATTAACACGTAAGCTCTTTTACCAGTGGTGTGGCTGACAGTACCTACGAAAATATAGCTTTGTGGCGCATTCGGTTACTAAGGTGTTGTATTTGGTTGATTCTATAGTCCGTGTGGCTACCTTTCCATTGCAGTACTTCAATGTTAGTAGTTTACTGAGAAAATAGTTTTGATTTTTGATCTCTATGCATCGCTAGGAACGTGCTACGTTACGAATCCTCTGACCGATGCCAGACGTTGCGAGGGTGAAACAATAACAAAGTGTGTGTTAAAAAATACGAAAAAATTGGGGTGGCTTAGCTCGGCTATGCCAGGATATACGTAGCGTGAGCTTATGCGCACAAAATGAGAAGCGCTATCAAGCGGCTCCGGTGCAGCGTCAGACTTGGCTACTGCGCAACGGAGGCGCACAGCTGGGCACGCGGCGCCGCCAGTGCGTCTGCCGCGGCTATGACGTCAGTCCTCTGGAAGACGCAGACCGGCAAGGCGCGCGCGCCGGCGGCCGAGCGCGCGGCGGCGGCGGCTCCGGCGCGCCAGCTGTGCGCCGTGTGACGTCACTGCTCCTCGCGCATGCGCAGCACGGCTCTTTGGGTACCACGCGAAACTCCTCAACCTCGGCCCGTGTAGCTCACGCTAGAAAAAGCGGTGAAGGGAAGCCGGGCCAGAAGCGCAGGTCACGGCGTCCTCCATCTTTGTTTGTGCTTATCCGGCGGCTGCTCCAATCAAGCGCAAAGGGCGTGACTCGGCCCTCTAAAGCGGCAGTCCGACTGCTCGTATACACGCTGTTGGCTGCGGACATTGTGTGAGGCCTGAAGCATGTTCTAAGCGCTTTCGTCAATATATATGTGTAATCAGCGTAATAGAAGCGTGAGCCTCATATAATGCCGGCAGACTATTAGCAGACGGTGTGCATCATAGTGCATGATCTTGTTTGACTTCCGCCGCGCTCACAAGGAAAGCAAATAGACTCCCCCAGAGAATCATTATGGTCAGATTAACGACTGCTTTATTGGGATCGCCTCCTGACTGTGGGCCTTTGGAGAGGCTACTTCGTGTTCTTATTCGGACACCACGCAGGCCGCCTGGCAGGCAGCCAGGCTTGCGAACTTCTGGCAGTCGTGTGGCCCGGTCACCGACGGGATGGTCACGCACTCGCCCGTGGTCGGGTCGTAGCGGGCGGTCGCGGTCACGGTATGGTGCGGGTCAGGGGCGCCAGGGCTGGTACAAGCTGGACGACGAGGAATTGAAAAAAGAAACAATCTTAGTTTTTTGTTTTTCGGTTTACCGAGAAAAAAGTTTAGAAATCCGCTCATTTATATTAAATTGATGGTTATCATAAAAAAAAAAAAAGATACGCTGCTTCAATTCGAGAGAAGCTTGCATATTTGAGTCAATAAAATCACCGATACTCCGAAGCAATAAAAGAAGTGACGAGTATTACTTTTAGCGTTTAGCACGGTCCCTCGATTGCCCTAGAGTTTCTTTAACCCGATTTCATAGAGCGGCGAGGGCGAAAGTTTAAAATAAATTACGAAGAATGCCGACGCTTGCAGCATGAAAAATTGCGACAACTTTTACTGCCAAATGACAAAGTCCTTCATTTCTAAAGATGCACCACTCGTGGTATAAAGTGAACCGAGCACAGCCTGTTTTGTCGAAGCACTCATATATTAAAGGTGATGGTGAACGCTAGCCCTCAGACACGTTGCGCTAAGAATGAAAAGAGAGAGAGATAGAGCGATCAACACGAAATCACCGTTGTTCAGACGATATAATAGGAAGCTAATGAAGTTCCAACTGAAATTAGAAATATAATTAGTGAGTAAGTCAAATTTAGAACATTAAGAGTACGAATCTAGTTGCCTTCGTGACACTGACATTCGTTAAATCGATTTAAACAATTGCTTAAAACGCTCCCTCTTTTTTACAGGAGTTTTTGAAAAGTTTTAGCAAGCAACGCTGCAGCAAGTCAATAGAAGATTGGTTTCTTAAAGAAAGACGAAGAACACACATACCTTGAGGATAGGGGCAAACATGCTGTGCACCCGCATTCACAGTATCTGTAAACAAGGATAAAAGGCAAGCGTCAATACCACACGACAGTTCCGGCTTCTGGGCCACACGAACGCTCCATCGCCCTACGAGAAATTTACGTGTCTGCTCTATACGGTTTATGCGTTTCGTCCCTCGTGACTGATTAGAGGAAGCTGGCGTATGTGGCGTCATCGCTCCACTCATGCTATAGCGCTTCCCATCAGTGAAAGTAAAAGCCGGACATCTTGGGGGGTTTTACGGGCCATGGCAACAAAGTACGGCTTCTTCCACGCCCCAGCAAAGGACTGAAGACAATCTTTAATGGCATGGATTCTTTTTTGTTTTGGTTTTTACGTGTACTTAACTCTGAGTTACACGGTTTCTTCTCTATCATGAGCCGCCCAAGCGCGTGCATCTTGGCAGGGACTGGTGATCCGTGGATCGGCACACTGCCTCGAAGACGCCGAGGCGGCTCTCGTAACTTAAGTTTGAATTACTCTTCTGTACGCGCAAAGGGAGCCAGTAGACGCTGCTTTCAGTCGGGACACGAAAAATAAAAAATCAAGGTGATGCCTTTCAGGCTTCTGAGGCAGCACAGGATGACAAAAACATTTTGTTTTCTTGTTCTTACGATTGATAGAAGACAACGACAGAATAAATTATACAACAGTCACGCGCAAAACTCGCTATAGTTATGCAATAAGAAACAAATTATGGTGTGAAAGGGTAGGTATATTCACTTATAGTTGGTGAGCCTAACTTTAATTAAAAAGAATTTCCGAGCTTTATCATACCTAAAACGTGTCGCAACGTAGAAAGTGCGGGAGTGACTTCACTTTCGAGTTCCTAAAGATCAACGTCCTAACGACTCCACTCACTGCAAACGGGCCATTTTGTTGACATCAAGCAACAAAAACAACATCCGTCAGCGCTTTTTATTTTTCTTCATTTCAAATTTTGCTTTCACAAGGAGTAAGTTTAAACCCTCATTCAAAAAATTGGAAAGGTGCGAATGTATCTCCAACCCACAAGTGTCCGCAGTAAAGGCGAAGGCATCAGTACGTGAGCCTTTCTCAGCATGCATGCTTTTGTAATTGTACGAGGACTCGTGCATCAGACGCACATTCTAGAGCCACTCGTGCGTGCCCATGCCTTCGTCTTTACTGCAGATGTTTGTGAGACGGCTGAACGCGCGCAGCCTCAAGGTTTTCTGTTTCAGGTGGAAGGGCTGGCTGCGGCCATCTTGAGTCGTAGACAGCCTTGGGGACGGTGGATACAGCCTTGGCAAATCAGGGCTTAGGGCCAACACATCCATCGTGCCATTACATCCATCGAGCAAATACGTCCAATTTCGTACCATTACATCCATCGTGCCCGCAGATCCATAGTGCCAACACATTCATCGTGCCATTGCATCCATTTTGGCCAGTTCATCCAACGTGCCATTACATCCATTATACCGTTACATCCACCGTGCCATTACATCCACCGCGCCATCACATCCAGCGAGCCACTTCATCCAAAAGCGTGTCATTACATACATCGTGCCGTTACATCCATCGTCTCATCACATCCAACGAGCAGCTTCTTCGGAAAACGTGCCCTTACATCCATCTATCACGCAGGTTTATTTCTTTGTTTAACTATGCTGTATAATAGTTCACAATATTTTGAAGTGTTATACGGTAAATTGAATGTACTAAAGCGAGTGAAAGGACCTAGCTTCTGTGCATCATGCGCTTTCTGCGGCCTTCGGCGTCTCCAAAGTTGAACATGCATCGTCGGCTCGTTGTCCGTTGTCTCCACAGTGATCACATTTTAGTTGCCGCTTTTTTAACCCTCAGATATAAATAAATATAAACTTTAATATATAATTAGGACGGTACACACAATCACACCTTTATTTTGTTTTAAAAAAATCTGAATGTCTTATAGAATTTAATTATGTCCCTGTTATGTCCCTGTGACTCCCAAACCAATGCGGACAGCAAGTCGTTTGCTTCTTGCGCAGGGGTCGCGGTGACGTCATAAAGACGTTGAGCTTTGATTGGCTCCGAATGAAGGATTGTGGATAGATCTCAAGGCAAGCTGCCTTGAGCTCTAACCACTATCGTTCAATCAGAGCTCCATTCAAAGCTCAGCGTCTTTATGGAGTCACCGCAACCCCTGAGCAAGAAGCAAGCAAGCTTGCTCTCCGCATAAGAATGCGAATAACGCAAAAAGCCCAATGGTGGCCATCTTGGCTTCTATGAATGTGCTAGCACGATGGATGTAATGGCACGCTAGGCGTCGTAACATAGGGTGTGCAATTACATCCATCGAGCAACTAGGTCCATCGAGCAACTACATTCAACGAGCAACTACATCCATCGAGCAGCTACATCCATACACGCGTCAACACATCCAACGAGCTAGTATATCCACCCTGCCATTACATCCATCGATGGATGTAATGGCTCGGTGGATGTACTGGCTCGGTGGATGTGTTAACACGTAATCGCACATCAGGCATCTCGGTGCGCGGGCATTCTCCCTCGGCACAACGCGACAGCCTGGAAGGCGCGATGCGCATGCGTGGGAGTGTCCACACTGCTACGGAGGAATTTCGTGCTTTAAGCGCGCTGTCCAATGCTAATCTATTCTCTAAAATATTTTATTCGCCTAACGACTAATGTGCCTCGGTGCATCAAACGCTAAGCGGAAAAAGTTTTGTTTCTATTCTTAATGGATGTAGTTTTTAATGAAGTTTTTATGTTGCGCAATACTCTGTTTCGGGAGTTGTGTGCAGCAAAGGTAAGGGTATACGCGAGGGCACATGGCGTTCAGATTTGCTCTCCTTTCGCGAGTTACACGCTGGCGCTTGTGCTGCATGCAACTCATGAGATGGAGCATAGATTATGACATTGCTGCATCACGATTTACGAATGAGCAATAAATGATGCGACCTACACCGGGGTAGTTGTCTTCAGGCCAAGGTGGCTCTGTAGGTACCTCTTTAAACAACCTGGGTTAAACAAGGGCACCCTACACTGTGTAGAGGACACGGTGGGATCGCCCGGGCAAAACAACTCCCAAACTCTGCTGCGACCATTTTTTCGCCACAAGGATTGTGCACGAGCCTCGAATAAATTGGAAACGGCAATTTACGGAACATTCGTTGACAATTTAGCCCCCTTCTTCCCTATAAAAAACTCCACACACTGGAAAGCAAGTTTATAATAAAATTATGTGCCTCCCCCCCCCCCCCCCCCCCCCCTTTAAAAAAAAAATTCTGATCAAAGAGTTTTTTTCGAGTAATTTACATCTACGTAGGCTGTTGGAGGAAATGTAAACAATACTCACGGCACACGATGGCGAAGCAAAGTACCAGCAAAAGCATCGCCTTGGACGAGACCGAAAAGTTAGCTGCCATCGTTTTGAAGTTGTAGTTGAGCCGCTGATCAGCAGGAAAGACACTAAGCGCAACGCCGAGCCGGCCTTTTAAACAGCCGAGATTGCCGGCCCAGATCGCAACATCGTCGTAAAACGAGAGCCAAGACCCTCCTTCACGCGTCTGGCGCGCGCTATCTCCAGCCGCTGCATAGGCAGTTCTTTTGGTTCGCCGAAATGACCGGAAGGCTGAAGAGCGTCAAAAACAGACATCAGGCTCTCGAGCCCCGGTCAATCGTCGATACGCACTTACGATCTCCCGAGCGCGGCAATTATCGGATCAAGACAACCAACTATCGCTAGACCTCCCTTTTTTTTATTTCTTGGTATGCTCAAGAAAAACGGCGTTTGCCTTTAAAAAAGACACGGCGTTCAAGCTCCAGAAACGAGGACAAAGTGATCTGCGCCTCAAGCATCTTAGAAGCATTCTGGCTTCGTTCGTGCTTCCAACATGTCTGCGGAGAATATTTGTACACTCTCAGAAAAAAGGAGTGTATTATTACACCCTTTGTTTTATATAATACACCCCAAAACTCCAGTTGGACGTGCAGCGCACTGACGTCGATCTGACGGTACTAACGTTCACGAGGGGCTTGACAGCCGTGTGGTACAACTTATTAAAATAGTTAATGTAGTACGTGTTACCGACTACAAAAAAAAAATAATGGGGTTTTCATGGCCCTACTGGAAAACCTCAGTGTTTTCTTTCTGTGGTTTTTGATAAGTATTTTAAGTGTTTATGATGTATATCTCACCGTTATCAAGCCCCTCGTAAAATTTGGGGCCGTCTCTGCGCCTTTAGTGCGCTGTGCGTCGGATTGAAGTTTTGGGGTGTATGATAAGGGACGAAAGGATGTAAGATGACATTCTTTTTTTTTTTTTTTTTGTTAGTGTATGATGAAATTTATGCCAAGAAAAAGGAACGAGTCAGACTGTGTCCGTCTTTTGTACGATGTACTGGAGCAGTTAGCGCGCCTTAAGCGTTGCTGCAGACTAGAGTTGTGAGAAGAGCTTTAATGATGTGCTCAATCTCGCCGTTGAGAAAAAGCCTTCTTTTGTTGTGTTTTAGGGATGAACTAGACACTTCACGAAATATAAAAAATACTTCCCTCGGACACTGCGGTTTCGTTACAAAAATATGTCCAAGTCGCGAAGCATTGCGCGGAAATATAGAACGAATTAGATAAAGTAAGTATTACTGTTAAAACTGACGGTAGCATTTATTTGTTTAGCGTGGTTGGCACACTCTCTAAGAACAATGACTCTTCCCGACATACGGAGTCGGACTAGGAAGCCATAAATGAGTAAATTACTTCCAAAATATAATTTAGTTAAAATTACTTTCCTCCAAAAATAGTTTAACAACAATTATAATTACTGCTACGTGAAGAGTAATTCACAAATTACTTAAGAAGTAAAGCAATTACTTTAAAATTACTTATTTCTGAGAGCGACCCTACTTCGGCCATATAACTTTAAACTACACAGTCAGCTTGTCTCAGGGCCAACACCCTTAGGGTGTTCAGGCAAGCACCCTCCATAATGGGTGCCTGCCAAACACCCTTGGCAAAGGGTGCTTGGCATGGAATAAGCACCCGCTGGAGTGACTCAGTGGAGGCTCGGCTATCCCAGCCAATCCTGCACCGGGAGAGTATCACGCGACGTTTTGGTCACGTGGAATTCAAGGTCACATGACGCTCTCTCGACGCTGGATGGCTGTAGCGTCCGCGGCGCTCGGACGAAAGGTAAAATGAGGCATAGGCCCCAGGGAAAAAAAAATTATAGGAAGGTGTCTAATACACACACATATCAGAACTTGTAAATTATACAAACATCATGAAGGTATTGCATGTTCTTATATTAGTATTATATGATTTACAACTTATTATGTTTACCAAACACATAAACACTTTTTTCACTTAGGGTGATTGCCACATCACCACATACGAGGCACGTGATAAACAAGTATTGAGTCACACTGAACCTAACTCACTTCATGAAGAAGTAATACAAAAGAGCTCCTTGTAGGCCCCATCATAACCCTGAGGAAAACCGGGTAGTGCTACGCCGCCCCCCTTTCTCGAACTCTAAGTGGGCAAGCAGTGACCCCAGGCATCGTACTGCACGGTTGAACCATTGTAAGCATCATGGGCTGCCACCAACGAAGCATGTGGAGCTTTCCTGTTTGGAGATCAAGTGGCATGTTTTGTTTGTCTCAGAGGATTGCAGAACCCACGCTTCGCTTATCACTTGTCTCCTTATGCGCATCTGCTTACTAATTGGAAGCAGGGTAGAGGGAAGTGGTCTAGCCCTTGACTGAACCACAGCAGTATTTCAGTAAGTGAAGCTCAGTAAGACATCAATTAGAATGTGTTAAATTGAACATTTATTGAACCTAAGAGACAAAAGTAAAATACTATGCTTGCCATAACATAAAGAATGCTATCTGCAAACGTGTAAAAAAATATCGCAGAATGAGCTTACCCTCTACGGCAGTAAAGCAAAAGTTTCAGTAGAAGACGCTATCCTCTTGCTAATGTACAAGGAACATTATAAAGTTATGGAAGGCGACTGTAAATGAGGAACTTCTACAGCTAAATTCTAAGCACCTCGCCTACAGGTCAGCATAAGTCATCACAGAAAGTACCCAACATTTAAAGATAGAAAAAGAAAGCATGCCTCCATAAAATCTTCTATCATTTGTACTGTAAGCAAAATAAAAATGAACCTGATAATACTGGCGAGAAAAGTGCATCATACACTTTTAAAACGGCTCACAAAACATCTCTTCAACCACATACCTGTCTGCAAACTTTGTTCGAAAACTTAATTACTGCTGTCGTTAGAGTTGTGTCGCTCAAGCCAAGGAAAAGCCTCTCCGCAGCCACCAGCCTGTTGAAAGCCTTGCGTTCGTACGAGATGCTGAGCAGCCAAGATGCTGCCAACAACATGCACAGCCCCTCTTCTGCATTACAAACGGAGAAGAAGCGCTCACGATTCACAACAAGGTGAAGAAAGTATGCATCGTCCAGCTCTTGCCTGCTGCCGACGACAGATTGCGTCGGTGGGATGTTCTCATCCTGCGTTAGGTAAAAGGAAAAAGCACAACATATTTGAATGTAGAAGGCCAAAACATATTTGCTCTCGTCAACTGTTATTATTCGCTGCAGTTAAGGCCATGAGCATAAGCCTGCACACAGTAAAGTTGACATTTGGGCTAGTTGGTTGTCTAACATATTGAGGTATTTAGCGCACAAGGTAGAAAGAAGAATGACAAGACAGAAAAGAGCGCTACTCACAACTAAGTTTACTAATAAAAAGGGAAGAGAAAGAAAACACCTAAATAATCCGCCGCGGACTCGTGCACCTGCCACAGCCCCGTGAATGATAGCGGCTAGTTCATCCAGGCTCGTGCGGGCCCTTCATTGTTTGTTCAAGGAATTTCCTTTCCTTGTTTGTTAGCGTAACGGATTCAACGCTAATACAGTTCCTGTCCTCGCGAAGGATGTAGAAGGCCTCCAATACCTCGCGGGTCAATTTGTCTTTGTCCTTCCCCAAGATGTTGGTCTCACGGAATAATGGTCTGCATGTGCATTCCCTGCAATGGAGAGGAAGATTTCCGCCCACTGTAGCCTTCAAGGAGTAATCATGCTCCCGGAGGCGGTCATTGAGGCATCTGCCCGTTTGGCCTATGTAGCTCTTGCCACATGAAAGAGGTATCTTATACACGACGCCCGAAGCGCATGATAGGAATTCGTTTGCATGCTTCTTGGTGCACGTGGGTTTTGTGGTACCCTCAGCATGCGCATTCACTCTATTGCAAATTTGGCTCATTTTGTGTGGTGCTGAAAAAACTACTCTGACCCCATAGCGGCTTGCGACGTTCTTTAAATTATGGGACATCCTGTGAAGGTACGGTATTACAACTGGCCTTGTTTGCTTGACACTGGTCTTGTTGGACTGGAAGCCTTTTGCCTTCTTCACCAGAGCGTTTGCCACATCCGCCAGTAGGGCTGACGAATAGCCGGCTTTTGTTAGCCTCTCTACTTGCATGGTGAAGCTGGCTGGCATAGTATGACGACAAGACTTCCTTAGTGCCGAGCCCAGACACGTTAGAGCTATGCCCCTCTTGATGATTTTTGAGTGCGCCGAGCCGTAGTCTAGAATGGCTTTCTTGGTACGTGGGCTGTACGACCAACAAACATGGGTGTCCCCCAGGTGGAGTGAAAGGTCCAGGTACTGAAGTATTTTTTCTTTGGGCACCTCAAATGTAAACTTAAGGCCGCCTCCGTACTCAGCAAAGGTCTCCATAATGTCTGCTACTTGTATGTTCATACGTTCGTCATCTTGAAGAATTACCAGGAAGTCGTCAACATACCTGGCGACCTTGTTCACATTTTTGCCTTCAAGCGCACTTTCTATCACACAGTCCACTGCTCCCAAGTAGATGTCACTAAGGACTGGGGCAACGCAGGAACCGATACAGACTCCTGACTTCTGCAGATAGCAGCCATCCCGCCACCCAACTATCATAGACTTCAGGTAGAACTGTAGCAGCTCCATAAAGCTCTCAATGGGTACTCTGCTGGAACTTCGGAAAGCGAGCTCTCCATTAGCTTCTATACAATCCTTCACCGAGGTCAGTAGCTGGTCGTGTGGCAAGGAGTAAAAAAAATTCTCCACGTCAATGCTGAAAGCGGTTCTCTTCTCAGGACCCCCTAATCGGAAATATTCCACTATCTCCTCAGAGTTGGCAACCCTGAAGGGGTCTCTAATGCTTAGGGCGGACAGTTGTTTTTGAAGATAGAAAGCAACTTGCTTTTGCCACGATCCCTTTTCTGTGACAATGGCTCTAAATGGACAGGCCTCTTTATGTGTTTTTACGCTGAAGAAGACCTCGAGATGTAAGCGCTCTGCTTTCCCAACTCTTGCGGCTAACTAGGTTAACGCTAGCCGCTCACACAGATTTTTTGCTTTATCTCTGGTTTTCTTCAGGGCGACTTGCACCGGTCTAAACTTTTTCTCAATAGCTGCC